GGGGGCTTGGATTTAAGGCCTTCAGATTTAGACCTCACCTTTCCACCTGACATGCCTTCAACAAGAAAGAGGCCTCAACATAACCCCAAAACCAGAAATTGACCTCCGCCTTGGCAGCATCAAGAAAACCCCATGAGTCTACAGCTTCAAGACATACCCATAAGCCAAAACCCCCTGACCCTCCCATTTCACATCAGCCAGCGGCAGAGCGAGCATCGAAGTCAGTTGCAACAGACAGGCGACCATGTGCATATATTTTTTTACAGGGAGTCCTATACGCCTATATAAGCATCATATACATAGCTGGTATATATGCCCATGGGCCTGCTGCTGCTGCGGCTGCTGCTGCAACTTGCTCAGAAACATGGATCAAGCATTAGTGGCTGGAATATTGTCAAGTGTGGCTGGTTCCATTTCGAAGGGTTTTCAGGGAGTAGCGGGTTGTAGAATAACAACAATCCACGCTTCAGCAGGCATGCAGCTACAAACCCTGCTTCTCAAACTCTAGATAAGCACGGATGAGCATACGCTGTAGCGTTCGCTGCCCACAAGTCCGTGCTGCTACACGGCGCGAAATTCTCGCGCAGATACCCACAAAGTCCTCTGACATATCACAGAGGAATGCTGCAGGTGAAAGGACCACAGGTGCCGAAGTTTGCAGACACCTTGTCAAGCGCAGTCCAATGTGTTTGAACATATGAAGCGAAGGCTCCAGGTGGAACAAACAAAGTTGCCGCTCCAAAAAGTTTCCTGCCAGAAAGCAATACCCTGCACAGAAGAGGTGGACTGCATCAGCAGCAGCATTGCATTGATCGCGGTTCAGCCAAAGCCCATTCTTGTGCAGAACCTGAAAGTACCGAAGAAGGCTGCAGCAGCAATCTTCAACGGCCTTGAACACTGGGCCCTTGTCCGGATCCCTGAAATATGTCACGCCCGATCGTCCAGTCTGATCAGGTTTCAAGGCACCCTGGCGAACAAGAATCAACAGCCATCTCAGTAGCATCATGCTGTCAGCTGCCTTCCACCCTGATCAATTAAGTTGTCTTGGGAACCCAGTTCAGTATTAGGGAAACCTAAGTATAAAAGATAACCAAACAATAGCAACATACCGAAAACTTTAGAATTAGGATAACCTCGGAAGTTAAAATCAAAACAAACGAAAACACCATACCGAACCCTCTATAGTATTAGGAAACCCTGAGACCAAAGAAAAACGAATGCAAACAACATATCAACCCTTTAGTAGTAGGAAAACCTGAGACTAAAGAAAAACCAGCCCAAGCAACGTACCGAACCCCTTAGTATTATGTACAATTATATATAAGTACTAAGGAAGGTACGTTAAGTTAAACTCCGAACAAAGAAAAACAAACGAAAAAAAAATGCCAAGAAACCTCCGAAAGGGAAAGAGGATCGCCGTGGCCAATGCAAGCCCTCCTTGGAAAACATCTTGAGGTTCGGGGTCTGCTTGATCTCGTGCTTGCAGCACCACACGAAATCCTCATGGGATTTCTCCAGAAGCGTGGCAATGCTGCTGGCACTGTTTGGGAACACGCCCCAATCTCCAAAAGCAATAATTGTAGATGCGATGAAATGTCGGGCTATTCCAAGTTTGACCAGATGCATCGAATCTGACCTAAAAACTTTTTCGGGCGCCACATTGCTGAAAGGAATCGGCAACACACACGATGGTCGGCGAGCTTTCCAAGGCCGCTCCACGTACAGTGTATCCAGCCAAGTGGCCCGCGGGGTTAAGTCTTCCCACCTGTGATTTCCCTGGCCCGCTAGACAATGATGACATACGCCGCCTCGGCCAAGAATATGATTGAAGGATCTCGTGAAACACCCCACTTTGCTCAATGCTGGGGCATCTCCTTTGACACCCACTAAAACGGGATAGAATCGTCGCCCTCCAATATCTATGCCAGAGTCAAAGAGTGTGGCAAGATCACGGACCACCACGTCAAGCACATCGAACCAGAATTGTTTCTGTTTCTTCTTGTAGGCACGGTGCGGCAAGACATACAGTAATAACCGAGAAGTCAAGGAAGACCCACTCCCTGTGTGTTGCGAAGCTGCCCAGAACGTTTCATCGTTCCATGCTCCCATCCTCTGACAGGCTTCGAAGGTCTTAATGTTCCATAGTGTTTCCAGGGCCACAATTTGAACAGGAGCTTTCCTCAATCCACGCCCTTCATCAGTGAATAGGCAGTAAGGGATGCATTGGCCCAGATGGTCCGAATGCCTTTGGAAGACCTCATGGTCTCCATCCTCAAACTTGTAAGCTTGCCAGAATGATTCAAGAAATGACGGCAGTGCAAAATGGTCCGTCGAAAAACCGCCTAGAAGGATTCCAGGTTTGTTGCAAAGCAGGTATTCCAGCCAGGCTTTGGGTTTGATCATGGGAGCGAACAAGATCCCCTTGTTGAAGTAATACAGATCCAGTGGTAGCGACAGGCCCCAATCCCGAATAATCTTGTGCAAGCCAGTTTCAGCATGAGGCAGCGACAGCACTGAGATCTTTCGAATTCCTTTTAGAAGGTAGGGTTGCTCCTTCTCAATGGCCTGCGCAAAACGCACCACGTTGGCTGCAGTATCCTTGGATGACATTCTATGTTCACAGAACTTAAGGTTTGCATGCTTCCCATTCGACCATATTAAATACCAAAGGGCAGAGGGATTTCCACGTCTGTAACCGTTTCCTATCAAAACATTGTGTGTGTCATCCTTGCTAAGTGTGCCTATATGCAGCTTGCTTCAGGGCAATTCTAATCAATCAACATTGCAAAGCAAGCCACGCCATTTGCAAGCGATTGAACCAATCGAAGACCAGTAGGTCCAGGTTTGTCACCTGCGTAGCGAGACTATCCAAGCAAGCATTTGTAGATGGCAGCTGGGATATACATAGAAGCTCGACCAGCCCTGCGCACACAAGCTTTTCACACCAGTTTTACCCAAGGCTTCTTCGTGACACGTGCGCTGCGCGCAATCCATACGTGGAAAGTTGCATGGCCAAAACTGTGTTAAGAGCCGCCTTAAACAACTTCGAGGGGCGGGCATGAAACTTTGAGGTTTGAAATTCCCTGAGATTTTCCCCAAGACCACAAACTAGACAGGGTCCTCCGGTGTTAGGCTTCGGGGTACCGACAGCTTGTAAAGCCACATGAGCTGAATTTAAACTCCTGAAAGGGTGTCCTGCATACATATATATTTACATATATATATATGGGGTTGTATATACGGGGAATACTATAGGAGTTTGTAAATTACAGCTCATGCGCTCTGGTAATGGTAAGAGAGTTGCAGAATTTGAGGGAACCCCGTAATGTATGCCCATCCCCTCTCCCCATTGGCTGCAAACACAGAACCATACAGCCCAGATCAAGCTGCCACAATGGCCACTCTCTACTGCTGCTGCTTGCCGGTCGCTCTACGCTTCGGAAGAACTTTGGGCGCAGCTTCAGGTTTTGTCTTGGCTTCAGCTTTCTTTTTCGGGGCAGCCGCTCGTGCGCGGGATTCCAGGTTCACGGACTCCAGGGCCCTTATGTTTGTCAGAGGCTGGGACACAGGCTCACAAGTCAATAAACAGAATAACATAAGGGGGTTAGAGAATGAGTTGCAAATTAAGCGGCTTGCGCTTTGCCAACTTGTACTCCTTCTTCAATGTCTCCTGCCTGAGATGTAAATTCATGCACAGGAACACTAAATAAAGTGACATGATGCGTTTAATGCATTTTCTGTGGCTGAGTCGCATCTCCGAGGAGAATCCTTCGATAGAACCCTCGCAATAAATATCATTGATCTTATCCTGGCTGGAGTCAAATTGGTCGATGCAATCCTGGAGGGATGACAGAAGCCTTGGCTGGGAACAGCAGCAGCTCCAGTACTACTGCTAGTAGTACCATTATATTGCTGGCGCTGCTTGAGATAGTAGCAGTAGTAGTAGTAGTAGTAGTAGAAGAAGTAATAGTCGTAGTAGTAGTAGTA